GAGTGCGCCGTGCACGCCTGCCGGGAGGGGGCGCCCTCGCCTGAGCAACCGGCTTGCGCAGGAGCCGCTGATGGAAGAGTACAGCATCGCCACGCAGGTGTGGAAGCTCAGCTCCTGCGACATGTGCGAGCTGGCGCGCAACAGTGTGCTCATGAGTGGCTTCTCCCACAAGGTACCGCTCTACTGGCCGGCACTGCTGCATGGTTCCCCTGGGGCCCCCCACCTTTGGGGAGGTCCCTGGGGTTCCTGGTCCTGGATGTTTCTGGCGTGCGCTGGCCTCTCCGTGCCGGCTGCAGCCCCGCCTGCCACCCCTACCCCTGCCAGGTGAAGAGCCACTGGCTGGGCCCCAACTACACCAAGGAGGGCCCCGAGGGCAACGACATCCGCCGCACCAACGTGCCCGACATCCGCGTGGGCTACCGCTACGAGACGCTGTGCCAGGAGCTGGCGCTCATCACGCAAGCTGTGCAGAGTGAGATGCTGGAAACCATCCCGGAGGAGCCGGGCTTCCCCACGAGCCCTGGGCCTCAGTAGCCCGGCCGCGCCCCGCCCCCCTCCGGCCCCCCGTCGCGTTCCGTCCTCGGGCGCCCCGCCCGTGTGTCTCTGCATGTGTCCGCTGGTCTGTGTTGTGTCCTGCATGTGTCCGACCGTGTCTGCCCCGGGGCCCGGCAGTGAGCGGCGCCCAGGGTCTGTTCTGCTCCTGGTTCAGGCAGGGGGCGTCTGCGGCCCTGCCCTGGCCCAGGACCCTCAGAAGCCCGGCTGTCCCCAAGGCATCTGTGCGCACGGGCTAGGGATAGCCTTGGGGGGCTGGCCCCTCCAGCCTTTGGGGTTCTGCCTGGCTAAATCAGGGCTGCGGCTGGAGCTTGACTCGGCCCCCCGGGTGCCCGCACACGTCCTCTGTGACCACGGGGACACTGGGGAGGGGTGGCGGGAGGGGTCCGGCTGAGAGCTCCGCCTCAGCCCTGGCTGCCAGGACCCGGGCGTCAGGTGCCAGCCCGCTGCCGCCAAGTCTGCGGCAGCCTCTCCTCCGGTCCTCTTGCTCCTCTGTGTGGGCTCCCTGTGCCTCTGTGGGAGGGGACGGCGCCCTGTGCTGTGTCTGGGAGGGCCTGGATCTGCCCCCTCCCTGGGTCGGGGTGGGGGGGCTCCCCAGAAGGGTCCCTTGAGTTCTGACCAGACCTGGGCCCCAGCTTGTGCCCTGTGTTATTCTGGACGTTGGCCTTTGCTGTGAAATGCAGTGTTTCATACGATCCCGTTTTTCCTAGTGCATGAGAAATAAAAATTATTTAAGTAATAAGAAGGCTGTGTGGCCTCTGTTGGGAGGTCTGTGGTGGCTGGGAAGTGACTGAGGCTGGTCCGGGAGCATCTTGGATTTTTTTTCCCCCCAGTTTCTTTTACTGGAAAATCAGTGTAGCAAACTGAGACTTCCTGAAAATGAGATCAGTAACTAAAGCTCCGTAGGCCCAGTCCCCGGCCAGCTGCAGAGCCTCTGCTTGGCCTGGCCCTGGTTCCTCACGCCCTGGGAAGGACATCCATGTGAAGAAGGCGGTGTGAGCGGCAGGGCCAGGTCCCACACGGAAACACCCAGGCACCTGCAGTCGACCACCCCACCCTCCCATGCCCTCATCAGCAGGCTGGGTTCTAGGGCCAAGGAGATCACGGAGGTCCCCAGAGTGCAGCGAGAGGAGAGAGATCCTGCAGCTAGGACAGGGTGACGGGGCGCGGTGACGTGCACCTGTGCTGGAGAAAGCTCAGGAAGGTGTGGGGGAGAGGAGCGGCGCTCTGGACCCACCTGCTGCCCCCAGCCCCTCAGCCAGCCCACTCCCCCTGGAGGGGACGCCCCCACCGTCCACCTCCCTCCTTCCCTTCAAGGCCCTACCCTTTGTGACGCCCACTCACTGCAGGTGAGGCGGACACCTGCTGCTCCCTGGCGGGACCTCACACCGGCTGCAGCACACCTGTGCTTGGCCAACTAGGCACGTCCTGGGCAGTTTCTGGATTT